CGACCTCGAGTACAGTAGTACAGTACAGTAGCGTTTTAGGTATGCGTTTGCATCGGTTTACACAGGAGACTGCAAGACTTCTCACGGGCCAGAGAATGGTGGCAATGAAGATAATAAGGGGGGATCCCTTCATCACTGAAGGTGGCTTGCTGTATGGTACATGCTCATTACCAGGGTCAGGAACGGGCATGCTTTAAGTGTAGAATGCCCGAAGACATGGCTGCTTTGGGCAGAGTTGCTCCAGAAGATCAGGCGAATGTGTTTTCAGAAGATGACTTTACGCTGGTGAAGGAACTGAGACAAAAGATAATAATGGGTAGGCTGGCGAAGCTGTGAAGGAATCAGGTGATGGTCCTGTGGAAGAAGGCAGTGCTGGAAGAGTTATTAGGCCTGCCCAGTCGCCAGTCACTGATATCGTGAAGAATGAAGTTCGTCACTCTGGTGTTGTGTCGGAGTAGATAATTGCTGGTTGTGATGAATATAGATGAAGATGAAGATGTTACCACGATGGTGACTTTGTTTTCTGGAGGTGAATTACAACATCGAAAAAGTGGAAAAATTGCGATAAGAGATGCTCGTAAATATGCCATACAGGAGAAAGTGTGTGGCTGGTGATTCAAGTGCTGAGGGAGATCTTGTTCAGAAGTTCAGAAGTGAGAGTCAATCTCTCTTGGTTCAGGAGAGAGAGACTCGTCCCTTCTGGCTCCTCCGGAAGTAAGGGAGGGTGAGAAGTTAGGTGTGTCCACTAATGTTGTTAATGTTGAGGTACTTGAGGATGATATGGGTCGGGAGGATAGGCAGAAAGAGCGTTCGGGTGGGGATTTGGAGTGTCTATTGGGATTATTCCCGGAAGTCGGTAAGGGTAGAGCTACTTTGTTATTCCGGGTTTTGTGGTGATGGAGTGGTTGTTATGGATGGAACGCAGATTTAAGGTCTGGTTTGGAGTTGTGCGAAGACGTAGGTAAAGGGTGGAGATGGTGATGTTTCTGAAGGTGGCGGTTTAAGCGTCAGCTGCTTGGTTGTTTGAATTATGGTGGCGTAGTTTTCGTGTTCCACAGGGAATGTATACTGTCAGTGTGACGTCCGGAATCAATCTCTCTTGAGTGTGTTCCTCCGGCCCCTCCTTCTTGATGCTCTATTGGTTTAGGAACACGTTAGTGATTTGGAACGTTTACGATAGTTGGAACATTCCTTTCAACCTGTCTTTCAGATGTAGCGCCGTCTGAAGGGAGTGTTGTTTGAGAGTCGAACTTTTTTTTTTTTTAATTTTATTTTTACATGCATGCATGCAATTAAATACAATAAAACACAGGAACATAACAAAGCAAAACAGAAAACCACCGGCCAGAAAGACCGACAGCACAGTACAACAATAAACATAACTGGTGCAAACGCAACAGAAACACAGCATACATCAAGTCAAAAACATAACACAAAATATAAGACAATGTAAACAAGCAATCATGCAAGCAAATAATGACAAGTTAAAACAAACAATAGGAACACATGAAACAAATCAAACATAGGCACCGGCTGGAAGGACCGACAACAAAGCACATCATGAATTACAACATGAAAGATAATATAAGAAAATCATAACATACATCAAGTCATAAACAAAAAACCATAAACAATACAACACGTAAGGCAGAAACATAACACACAGGACATATTAACACAAAACATGCACATGAACAAGAACACGCACAAGAAACTACCGGCCTCACAACAAACAAAGGGAGAAGCACGAACACATAACACAATAGGACAAGCAAACAACCAGAGCGGCATACAGCACTACCTTAAGCACACACACAGGAAATCAATGGACATACTTGCTCGGAAATCTTGCCCACGGGAACCGCACATTGAACGCTTCCCAGAGCAACCACCGCTGAGGGTCTCGCACATCTACTGGGGAAGCCATAACATCTGGAACCCCGGAAACAAACACCTGCAAACAGAGGACCCAGATGGTATCACTGACGAGGCGCGTTGCCGCCACGCGCCCCTACTGGAAGGGAACCAGCCCACTAAGAAAGTTCTCCAGTTCGTCAGACAGCACCAACTCGGCAATCATTTTCCAGTGACCCGGCGGCATCACAGACGCCGGCAACATGTTCCCCAGGGCCCCAACGTGCATCCTCTCAAGAACAAGCTCGACAGAGGGCACCACCACAGGGGCACCCACGGCCACGGGCACACCAGACAACGGCAGGGAACCCGGACGGCACGCATCCCTCCGTAATGTCACCACCAGGCCGCGCCCAGCACCTATATCCACACCATCTCTGTCACAGGAAGCCACTACCCCCCAATGCGGAGAGCCCACCGGTGGAGAAAGAACAGAAGGCACGTCAGAGACACGGGCACTAGAACCAGCAGGCACATGGACTTCTGCCACCACCAACTGTGCATACATCGACGCATCCGGATCCATACCGTCGACACCCGAAGACCCACAGTCGCTGAAGTCACCAACATCGGCCCAGGCAGAAGACGAACGCAGGGAACGTTTGGGCACCGGCCGGATATCGTCAGAGCCGGGTGCGGACCCAGAAACCCGGGTACCAATAGCCAGACGAACTGATGCCCAATGCAGAACGGCAGCAGCCTCTACCACAAAGGGAACCGGGCCACACACAGCAGGTGGCTCCGCAGCAACCCCAGCATCCAGCACAGCCGAGACTCGAGGCGAGGACGCAGGGCCAGGCGCAGCAGTTGAAGACGAGGGAGAAAAAGACGGCGACGCCTCACACAGAGCACCAGAAAGGCCCACGGGAGCAACGGGGACAGTGACAGGAGCAGGAAGACCATCCGACGGCACCGCAACACCCGGACGAGGGTTTGCAACCACCGGAGGAATATCGGGTGACACAGGGGTAGCCTCATCAGCTAATGGGACGTTCACTTCATCACCCCTGGAGTCGTCCCCCAGAGGGAGCAGCGGAAAATCCTCTTCCCGGAACAAGTTGACGGGAGCAACTGGAGCCGCAGTGCACCCGGCAACCTGATGCCCCAACAGGCCACACCAGAAACAGGTACGGGCTTGCCGGGCATAGTACACCCGGACATAGTACCTCATAAGCCGGACAGAAGATGGAATATCCAGGCGCATCCCCAAAGAGCGAATGTTCATCCGTCTACCTCCATGCATCCCTGAGGAGAGCATGTTCACCTGCACACTAACGACCGTTCCAAACCTCTGGAAGTAACGTCGGAGGAGGTCCTCAGGAATCTCCAGGGGCGCCCTATGATCACTAACATAAGTCACCACTACGGTCCGAGATGGACACAGAGCCGGCACCACCCGGCAACGGCAACGAACGCTCCTCGTAACGACGGAGGAAGTCACAGTAATCCTCCTCTCTCACGAACTTTAGAACAATTTGATGAGCAGTTACAAGCTCAACACTGTAGATGGCCATCACTGGGATATAGAGCGTATCATACATAACCATCTCGATTTCCGTTTATCCAGCACGACCAGTGAACTCCAGGCCTACGGAGTTCACTCGCACAAAAGGGGGAAGATGGCCTCCCATGTCAAGCTCGCCACATCAACAAGCAGTCAGGGAGCAACAGCAGGGGGGCAGAGACGCCCACACCCCCTGGCGACGAAAGCGGCAAACACCCCAACTACCAGAGGCCAGGCGACATGTCTGCACCTCACGACAGCTAGCGTGCAACTCCTGAGAATCGAACTAGCTCTGGAATTGTTTTTGTTTCCGGTGCTGAACTTTCTCTAAAGAGATACGACCTACTGAAAATGAGGTCTCTGTGTTAGGATACAATAGTTGAAATGAGCACCAGAGATTAAAACAGTTATGTAACTACCTACGTTTTCTTTATGTCAAAGGTTCTCTTGATTATTCCAAGGGTTTGGTTGGCTTTTTTTCCCTGCTGCTCCCACTTGTTGTGCAACCTTTAGTGGTTAGTTGATTCTGACTCCAAGGTTCATATCTTAATAAATCTGCTGTAAGGTACTGTTGTTGATCTAGTAGATTTTGGAAGGGGTGCATTTTTATGTCCCAAATGCAGGCCCTTGTGCTATTCCATATTAAAAAGCATTTTCCTGTCTTCCGATCATTTGTGGAGTTCACTTAGATCTCTTTGTAAGACCTCAATATCATTTTAAGTTCCTACTTTGCCATAAATCCCACCCATAATCCCTCTTTAAATAGTATTTTTTTTAATTATGTGGGCCATCGTATATATACTGTATTGACATATTGGACAATTACATAAAAGAATTTGGTACAATTCACTTTATTGAGTCCAGAAAAATAAAACCATAATCCAAACTGAAATATTCCTGGGCCTAGTATATCACACTTATACTTTATCAGGTCTCATACAGCGTGTATTAGGCCTAGGATGGTTAGGTTAGGCAAAGTTTTGTTTGCAGCATAAATAGAAAACTTTTTCCGGTGTGTCCCAATTCAATAGTTCCAAATTTTACTTGCTAATTGTCCAGTACGTCAAAATATGTACAATAATCCTCGTCGTTACTCTAAGTACTATCCTAAACAGGAAGATGGGTTACATACATTTTAAGAGTCATATGCAATTATCATAAAGTAGCTTGTAATATTCTCGTCTATATGACTCATGTATATGACAAAAAGGGTCCGCCCCAATAGCATTGTGGCGCCCCACTCACTACATTCCTCCAGTCATTTCCATTTAACTCGAAGGGATGGATAGATACATGAAAATATCGATTGATAGAGAGAGAGGTGGATGGATAGATAGGTGAATAGATTGATGGATAGATGATGTATATAGATTGAAGGATAGAGGGATAGGTATATAGATGGAAAGAAAGAGGGATAGGTATATAGATGGAAGGATAGGTATATAGATGGAGTGGATAGATAGATGTATGGACACCTGGGTTGATAGGTGGTTAGTCAGATGGACTGGTAGATGGATAGGTAGATAGATGAGAGACATCGGCGGGTACCCGTAATATATTGAAAATATTAAAAATATATAAATATGTTCAGACGATGAGTCACAATAACGTGGCTGAAGATATGATGTCCAAACAACACATCAGAAAACAAAGAAACAACGACGTGTCGGTTCGTTTGAACGTTTATCAAGTCTTGTGATCAGCTTGATAATGGTCCTGAACGGACAGAAGCGTTGTAGTTTCGTCGTTTTTTTGTTGTGTGCGTATGGTCATAATAGGCTTAGTATCCCTTACTTAGGCCTAGCAGATCCTCGAAATCACACTGGCTTGGGAATTATTAGGCATACACACAAGTGCTTAAATCTGACATGTTTTTTTCACTAAATTCTATTTTTTAAATTATAAATTTTAAATTAATATTTTTTGCCAGAATATCAATGAATAAAAAGATAGAAGAAAACAAAGAGAATCTTAAATTTAACTTGTTAATTCAGCCACTGTCATTGAGCAATTGGCTTTATTTAATAAAATGGTCTTGGAAAGATACAATCAGAAAAGGACGCGGGTCATGATAACTATATATGCAGAACTTCAACATATTGGTTAACAGGATTGACAATATAGCATCTTATAAATCTATTTATAGTTACTAATCTTCGAGTTTAAATTAAATAGAAATCTATAAATACTACAAGCTAAGATGTTATGATCGAAGCTGAGGTATAACCTAAATTGACAATATATCATTATGAGAATGTCAAGCCTAACATTGATAAAAGTATAATGCAAGTGATAATACCACTAGGAATATGCCAAGCTCTCTCTTAATACGTATATAATGTAAGTGATAGTACTACTAGGAAAATGTCAAGCTTAATCTTTATACAAAATTAAAGGTTTGGATACACAAACTAAAAACTCCACTAATTACTAAAAAAATTTCTTATGGTAGTGTGCTGTTCTGCCTTTATTGTGTGCTCTTTTTCATTTATTGTGTGCTGTTCTCTATTTATTGTGCGTTGTTTTGCATATCTTGATACGTTCATGTCAGTTGTGCCATCTTGAGGTTGATAGTTGCTGGGAGACAACTGTGGAGTCAAGGTGTCAACTCGTCCAAGTGAGCTGGTGCATTTTATGGTGTTTTTTCCCGGACAGGTTCCAAGTACTCGTGATAGATGAAAATATTCTGAACGTGTACTGCTTGTTTTGTTAAGGAATGTTACACAGCGCCTCCACTAGCTGATCCAACCACATGGGCTGGACGATATTTGCGACGGTCTGGCTTCTTGCAGGTCGGCGTTCGATCTCCGACCGTCCGTGTGCTTGGGCACCACTCCTTTCCCTCCCTCCCATCCCAAATCCTTATCCTTACTCCTTCCAAGTGCTATATAGTCGTAATGGCTTGGCGCTTTTACCTGATAACTCCCTAATTTCACTGGCTGAAATCATTTCATAGATAATATGAAAACGCTCCTACAACATGCTCCTATTGCCCCTCCTGCAGCCTGCCTTTCTGCCCCTCTTCCGACGTACCCTTTGTTCCTCCTGACCTTAGTTCATGCACGATCTGCCACAACCAGCAACAAGACAACACTTGTTGCCTTTGCCAGTCATCCGACACTCCTGGTCAGAATTACACTGGTCAATGTACGCCTTGCAGACCCTTCCGTACGAATTGGGATCCGGACAGCCTCTCCTGTGGGAAGTTTGTAATTAGAAGATGGAAATGGAAGAAAATGGGTTATGGAAACACTGATAATTTGGTTACATTAAATTGATACTTAAATCGAGCGAGGAAGTGACACGAGTATAATTTTGTTTTTCAAACGTTGCCATCTCCTATATAGAACATTCAATGCTGGATGATTTGGCAAGGAAATCAAGTTATTACAAAGACCTGTGAGTGTTGAATTCTTTTAAGTTTATGTTATATATATATATTATAATATATATATATATATATATATATATATATATATATATATATATATATATATATATATATATATATGAATGTATTTGGGTGGATATAAATAGGAGATGCCTGGAAATAGTCCTCACTTGGACTTTTACTGTGGTAGACTTTATACCCCTCCTGAGGATGATAAGCTATAAGACCATAACTAAACTCGCTGGTTCATCAGGAAGCTATTGTGGTGGCCTTGCGGGATTATGTGAGGTTAAGTTAATAATTCGATAATTTATCTTACCTTCGGTGGACTGTATAATGGGCTTGTTATGTGTTCCACTCACCTCCACAGGGTTTTAATATATTAGTGTCATATATAATTAATTTAGAATTAGTCCATTCAGTACAGAATTGTTTAATTGAATCTAAACTTAAGTATTTTGTCAGCTATGTTCACCGAAGATAACTCTCAAGTTATTTAACTTTCGAAGGACCAGCATTTTGCCATTGACTCTACATCCTGTATATATGATTGTCACTGAAGGGGTTAAATAAAATATTATGTGTTAATTAATAATTACTTAATTATGGTTTAGTTTATCTAAATTACTAAATATTTAAAACGAGACTATCTGACCTACAGGTGTGTGACGCCCCCGGGGTGGTGAAGCGAGTCACCCACAATGTCTACTGTCAGCTGGTGTGGCACTCTGGGACGTGCCAATAACCTCGGACACCACCTGCCGCTGTTTTTTTTATTTATAAAATTAACACAATATAGTACAAAAAAGACAGGAAAACAAAGTATAGCAAACATTGAAACAGACAGGAATTCGAAAACCACATAATACAAATGGAAATAAAACAATAAGAACAGAAAGAAGCAATGAATATGGAAACCTCACATTATTTATATATTAAACACAATATGTACAAATGAGGACATGAAGTAGAAAAACACATAGCACTAGGAACCCAGAACCTTGTACAGCATACAGAACAGAAACACAAATGGGAATAAAACAATAAGTACAGAACGAACACATAAAACACGTACCAGGACAAGCCATACAGGGCTCAGTGAAAGTACATAATTCCCTTAAACACACACAGACTGGGTAATACAAACCAGACCTACATACACACATATGTAAACACAGTGGGAACGAAACCTGGCACATGCAGGAACCGGGGATGAGAAAACTCAGTCACATACAGAAACACACAAAAACAAACCCGGCACGCACAAACACACACACAACCGGAACGCGCAAGAACCGGAAAGATACAAACATGAACAAGGAGGAACATGAATAAACATAAAACAAGAAAGAAAACGAAAACAATGAAAGCCACACACCATTAAAACAATAGGCTTATAAATACAAAAATAAGAAGAAATACAAAGTAATAACAGAACATAAACAGTAACAGAGCAAGTCATAACATACACGGCAAGTGAGGGAGCCATTGGGAGAAACAATTAAGACCCCTCTAACCCCTCAGGCCCCACCGGAGGTACACACGAACCCACCTCAGGAGCAGTAGCAGCAATACACTGGCCATCGTGCCGGCCCCCTATAGAGGACAGCCCCTCAGGGACGGAAGTTCCATGTGTCTTCCGGAGCAGCACCTGGGCAACTACACCCTCACCATCCAACAATATCCCAGCCGCCACCTCCCAGCTGGCATTTGACTGCACGTCCAGGGAGGGAAACCACGTCCTGACTGCTCACCACGCCACCATCAGGTCCCACGACGACAGCAGGGGGAAGGGGGATAGGAGGGCTACCAATCAAACCCACCCCCTGTAGAGCCTCCACCCTATTCCCTGGGAGGACCTCTGCTCCTAGAACGCACCCGCGGCGCCCTCTTCCGGCGGGGAGGTGGGGAAGCCGGCGTCGCCAAGGGGGAGGGGGGGGAAGGCCTCCCAGGACCCTCAGAAGTACGCAACACATCATGGACAGCAAGAGCCCCACCTGTCGCATCGACATAGATACGGGACCACCAACACACGTAGTAGGCGAAACCAAATCACTCCCAACCACAGGTCCTTGCACCACTGCAACTGGAGCACCCACCACATCGGCGGAATCACTTGGAGTCGGATGCACTTCTGCAACAATTGTCTCTCCAACACTTGCAACGGGCACCACCGGGTCCGCGGGCGCAACCGGCAGGACAGGCCGATCAGGAACAGGCAAAACAGCGGGCTCAGCCGACTAAGGGACGGCACAGCGCACATCAGCAGGCCGCAGGATCCCAGGCTCGACCCCACTCTCTCACCAATGGGGGAAAATCACTCTCCTGAAAGATAGAAGGCCCCTCAGCCGCAGCAGCACGGCACGCAGCCATGATGTGGCTGTCCTCACTGTGAAATTTTTTCTTTGACAGGTTATCAAAAGAATTGAGTCCTATTGATGTTACGTTAATCGCAACTACCTCGCAAGAGAGGCAGACCTTAAACAGCAAGAGCTGCCAGTGGCAGATATTTAATCTTAAAGCCTAAGATCATAGGACCGCGGGAGCAAACCGCCAGGCGAAACCACTCCGGTAACACCTGTCACTTAGGTCGCTGGCTCCTCCTAGTTGACAACTAATAAAGGGTAGCCGACGGATTCTCACCTCTTATTTATAGAAGTGTGGTGCTGTGCAATGGACTCGAGCTTTAGATACAGACTTAATATGAACATAAGCAGGCAAAGCGTTGCAGAACATAAAATGTGGGGCAGTAAAATTGGAAGGTTTGACGTAAACGACCGTTTCTATAACACAACAATTTATTCACAAAATAAGAACTAAAACTACTACACAGTGAATTTACGTTACTTTACTGTCACTCCAGTGGCACATTAAAGAGCAGCTAATCAACAGCCTGATGGACCCACGGTATCCTTATCCCGTCGTCGCTGACTGAACAATGACACTAACTGAACAAAGTGGTGCCCACTGGTGACGCAAGCTTGCAATCAATATTGTCACGGCTTCACGGTGACCAATACTATAATCACAAAAACTTGACTGGCGCTCGCTGCCCACAACGAGGTACCAAGTAACAAGGCAGTTAATCCAAGAATGATAACCCCTTATAAAAAATCTTACGTTAACACTTGTCTCTCAGGACAATCAAAACAAAAGTTACTCTAATTGAATTTAAACACTTACATTAACACACACACGTGTCTCAACGGCACTTAAATGGCATCAATAACTCGTAAATCAATTAATTACATCAACTTGAAAGTCAAGCACTTGGTGAGTAATTCCCAATTAATTACTGAATACAACAGCCTATTAATACAGACGAGTATTGACAAAGCCTACTGTCTCTCAACTGACAGTTCACTTCCGGTCTTACGACAAGATTACCTTAACGAGGGTAGACTACTGTACCACACACAATGTTCCAATACTCCGTGTAAACAACAACATCAACACCTGGTGAATTCACTAAGTGGCGATTACTAATTATCTTTAATTAGCTACGAGTGCTTAATCACTCTGTCCGCAGACAGAGCTGACCAGTCCAACGAATTACAACAGCTTAATTACAGCGCAATTGACTCCGATCATAACAGACCGTCAACCCCTTACGTTAATCACTCAATTAACGACAGCTCGTTAAATCGTTAGCACTACGTTAGTCTTCACTTGACAATTCCTCCACTGCGTGAACTTCACTGTGACTGTTGCCTTTACACGTCCCTACGTTAATCACAACAATGTTCAACGAACAAGTGACCTCGTTAAGTAAATCGTGACCCCCGGTGACGTTAACCGACTTTAATTCTCACGGAATCCTTCAGAGTACACAACGCCTTCCACCAAGGTCAAACTTGTCTACGGTTTACACACGGTACAACACAGTACATCACAGTACAACACAGTACATCCTTGCCACTCACGGCAAAACTTGTAAATGACTTCCCCCAGTAAATTATCCACCAATAATTCAGACTTTACCACAACACAACAGTAAAATATATAACCAAGGGAAATCTCCCTGTTACCACTTTTCACTGCTGAAAAAAGGGAATCAAATTACAGCGAATACATACACGGCACATAGAGAAAAAATAGAAGTAAATAACTCACTTTACTCTACCTCTGAATGTGTCACTAGGTGTCTTCACACACGTCAAAAATTACAGTTGGGCCCAATCCTCAACTTGATGACAAACAGGGTAGACTCACACGTCTCCAATTCCCATTCACCTCCCCAGGTGGTCCCAGGGATAAAGGACAGACGGAATACTGGGGGCGAACCCAGCTTCAGAGTTTTATTACTCAAACAGAAACAGTGTACTTACATCAATGGCCCGCAACCTTCTTTCACTCACACATACACGTCAATCACACTCCCACTGCTGCTGCTGGATGATGACGTAGGCGTCCTCACTTCCTACACGTGGTCAGGTGGAGCACAGGGTCCTAGACCACGGGGTTAGTTCCACACACACTGAGACCAGGATGGCACAGACACACCGGCACAGGCAGCCAAGGTTGCGCACAACAGCAGGAATGCGGTACCACGCCCCTTCCACTTGACACGGTACCCCAGGATACGACGGTACATGGTGTTACACGGTACACGAGACCCGAGACAGAGTCCTTCACTGTTCCTCAGAATTAGAACCTTTAAGGTTTCTCTCATAACACTGAAACCTTTTCTGGCACGTCTCACAGCAGTATCTTCAAGTACAGATACGATTGGACGGCGGATGTCGTTTTTGTAGCCCGATAATTAACGCCTCACTCAGTCCAGTTCCTCTAAGATGGCGTCCCAC